TATATGTTGGATCTTTGTTGGTTATGTTCTGTATCCAATAGTTATTTTTTGATAACCTTTCTAATATTTATTTTTATTCTCTTGGTGATTTTCATTTCTCTCCTCAGTGTCCCTTATTATATTTTCAGTTGAATCTACTGTCCAATTTGTCATTAGGGAATTGAGTCTTCAACTGAGATGACTTCATTTCTTCAATTTTCTCTTGAGTTTGGACAATTCTATTTCACATCTTCTACTCTTCTGTGCATTTCTAGTCTTCTTTTCACAACTGATGATTCAAGGTATTTTTTTTTCTTATCTGCCAGTACTTGTTTAGCTCAAATTTGATTTTTGTTGAATATAGTTTCCCTCTGATTAACCACTGGTTTTGGCAGTAGAATTTTTAGTAGTGGAAACTGTTTTATCTTCACATAGAGGCTTTTTTATGGATGTTGACTGTTATTTCCTGGTCATTTTAAAGTATATGTTCCTGGACCAGCAAAAACAAGTTCTATTTTGGCAGAAAACTAGGGTCATAAGTTGGTATAGTGAAATGTGGTTTCTTGAATAGACGGGCCTTTTTGGGATGGGATGAGATGAGATGAGAATGTCCTTTTATGATTTTATAATCTTCTTTGGTTCTGCATAGCCTTAAATTTCAACTCTTGCTTCCTTTCCCCCCCTCTTCACAAAGGTCATTTTCTTCCCAGGACTGCTATCTCTAGGCCTTTCACTATCAACTTGGACTCTCCTTTCTGATTCTCCAGTAGCATATACTATAATCTACCAGGTCTTATCTTTGTTCTCATTGTTTGCTATTCTGCATGAGACTCTCTTTCTAGGGATGATTAGCCAGGTTAGACTTCCACTGCTCTCTCCCTTTTTTTTTTTTGGTACTGGGGATCAAACTCAGGACCTTGCACTTGTGAGGCAGGTGATGGCACCACTGAGCTAAATCCCCAGCCCCTCTCTCTCCCTTTTTAATAGTTTTTATCTGCATAAACTCTTCATTCTAGTATGGGCTGGTATTGGTTTTGCTGGTTTCAGATCTTCATATCCCCACTAACATGTAATTAAAATTTTTGGCATTTTAAACTCTTAGTTATATTTAGACATGAGTTATGAATGGATTTCCTTTTTGATCTGAAGGTTTCTAGAGCTTTTTTGGGAAAGATTTTTATTTAGATGGTCCTAATTAACCCTGGGAATCTATATGTTTTAATAGGTCCTTACAGTCTTCTAAACAATAATTTATAAAGCAGCATGAGAATAATATAGTACTATGTAGTTGTAAAAATGAACAAGGAATATCTCCATTCTGTGAGGTCATGTTTCAGACAAACCAATAAGTGAAAAAAAACAAGGCTAAGAAAACTATGTAAAGTATACTATATTTTACATAAGCATTATAGGCAAATCTATGTGCGTACACATATATAAATGACAAATTATCAATATATACATATAGTTTTGTCTGTATTTTTTAGAGTATGGAAAGATAAACAATTAAAAGAAAGCGGTTACCTATGGAAGAAGGAAAGAACAGACAGGATGAACAATATTTCTCTGAATATATTGTACTTTGTTTTATAAACTTTCCTATTTTTTTTTTTTTTCAATAATTTGGGACTGAATCCAGGGCCTTGTGCATGCTAGACAAGTGCTCTACCACTAAGCAACTTTCCAGGCTCTACTTTACATACTTACATAACCAAATTAATTTTGAAAAAGCAGTCTTCCAAAAACAAAAAAGAAAATGAAACAAATAAACCTTAAGTATCAACATGGTGGCAGAATACCCAGAAACTAATTCATATGATCTTCTTCTTATTATTATTTTTTTGGTACCGGGGATCGAACTCAGGTCCTTGAGCTTGCGAGGCAGGCAGCGGAACCACTGAGCTAAATTCCCAGCCATTCATATGATCTTATAACACATTATTGGTCTGTATTTCCCTTGAGGGTAAGAAAAAAAATGCAAATAATTAAAATAATACCTGTATTCATAATGGTGGTAGTGTTGGTTAATAGCCTGAAATGCTATATGTGTATTATGGAATAAAGCAATTAAGTTATTTTGTTGTTATGGAGAATTAGGGTTTTGTTGTGGTATAAAGATGATACAGATTTAAGATGGTAGAGAAAAAGTAGGTAAAAATGCCATTGTTTTAAATTTTAGTGAGCAGTATCAATATAAAGCAAACAAATCAAAAAAGGTAAGTGCCTCTCTATATCAAAAAGACTGAGGACTCCAGTGCTCAGATTATGGTTTCTAAATACCATTTACCACTAAAAGGAGCCTAGCCTCCTAGAAAAGACAGGTGATTCCATATTGGGGCAGGAAATATATAAGATGAGCTTGGAACATTTTGGCATTTCAGAATTCTAAGAGAGATACCAAATAATACTGATGTATATAAAAGTGTCTGGAGACAACATGATGAAGCTCCTACAGACCAAAGATGGGACAATTCAAACATCAGTATGGACAATTTGCGTGACAGATTGAATATGCATGAATCTCTGAGTTTCTGACACTAAAAATTCTTCCTTTAATACTTTTGGAAGATGTTAGTAAACCAACCCATTATTTTTCAAATAGGTAAGTAAATAAAAGAATCCTGTATAAATCATGTCTCAAAGAGTTAATGAAAGTTTATTTTGATAAACTTAGCTTTTTCTGGGGTGGGGGGGCAGTGCCTGGGGATCGAATATAGGGCCTTATGCATGCTAAACAAGTGCTGTACCACTAAATTACATCTCAGTCCATAAAAAAATCCAATTATGGACTATATCTTAGGATAACCAAGGAGTTGATAAAAGTTTACTTTAATAAATGTATTCAATTTAGTTTATGTAGAAGGAAGGGCAGGATTAAAAATTCTGGTTTAATAACCATAATAAATTGATAGATCTAAATCAGTAGCCTTGCCAGGAATGATAGTGCACACCTGTAATCCCAGCACTCGGGAGGCTGGGGAAGGATTGCCATGAGTTCACAACTTGTCTGGGCTACATAGTGAGTTCAAGGCCAGCCTAAACTGCATAGTGAGACCCTGTCTCAAAACAACCAACCAACCAACCAACCAACCAAACCAAAAAACCCCCCCAAAAGTCAGTAGTTGAGTGTGGTGGTGCACACTTGTAATCCCAGTACTCTGTTAAACTGAGGCAGGAGGATTGCCAACTTTGACAACCTTGGACTACTTAGTGATTTAGGGAGACCCTATCTTTTTAAAAAGGGCTGGAGATATAGCTCAGTGCAATGGCCCTGAGTTCAATCCCCAGTACTGTAAAAAACAGTTCATCCATCTATCCATCCATCCATCAGGGGTCAGCAAACCCACCAGGCCAGGTTATCAGCTGTTTTTGTAAATAAAGTTTTATTGGAACACAGACTGCTCATTCACTGATGTATTGTCTATGACTGCTTTCTTATTATAAAGACAAAGTTGAGTGAGTAGTTGTAACACAGAACATATGGTCTGCAAGCCTGAAATATTTACTATCAGGCTCATTAAGAAAATATGTTGGCCCCTGATTGAGATCATGAGCATCAATGGCTACTACAGTATAAAACAAGACACAAACATAGTTTGTATCTGAGCAAATCTCTAAATCTACTTATCAATTTCTAGGAAGCACAGGACATAAAAACATGTTAAACAATATATTTAAATGAAATAATGAGCAAAATATAATTATGAGAAATTTTAAAGGCAAAGAACTTGAAGTTTTGAACAAATAAACTGAAAGGGGAAAAAACAGAGAAGGAAGGAGATCCCATAGATTAAAAGAGACTTAAGGGACATATCAACCAACTGTGGATCTTAGATCCTGGTTCAAAGAAACTGTTGGGGGAGTGTAGGTGCTGTAGGGTGGGGAGGAAAAAAGGAGAAAAGATTAGGGAGGCAGGGAGGTAGAGAGGAAGAAAGAAAATCAATTGGGGAAAATTTAGACAATGATCAAATATATATTAAGAAATTGTAGTTAATTTACATGTGATAATAGCATTAAATTTATTTTTGAAACATCCTTACCTTTGGGAGAGACATGCCAAATATTATGATAAAACGATACTCTCTTTGGGGAAATGGGCAGGAAGGATGTATATACAAGAATACAGATAAAATAAGATTGACTATGTGTTAATAATTATCAAGAATGAAGGTACTTGGACATTCATTGTGTTCTTTGTATATATTTGGGATTCTGTATTACAAATAACTTTTTAAATGGGGGAATATATTAAACAAGTACCTAGGATGCTCTTTCAAATGATATATATTCTCTAACCTCAATCTAGCTCAGCTTCCTGAGGGGAACATGGCCCCACGTCCATAATCCATCCCTTTCTATCTGTATCTCATTAAGATCCACTGCTATAATGATTGGCAGTAACTAATGAAATGGGATGAATCTCTTAGGTATGTTAAGGCCAAGAAAAAAAAAAGATGAATCTAATTTGGAAGAGAAAAATCTAGTGAGGTTAGTAGTTTAACCAAAATAACAGATCAAAATGAGAAAATTCCAAGGACAAAGTGAGAATCTAGGGGAAGTGGGAGGAGACAAGAGACCCTTATACTCTTATAACAGTCATCCTTTTTACTGGGAGAATTTTCTCTCATTCCTTGTCATCAATACTGGATTTAGTGAAAGCACTGTGTATGTGTGCATGCTTGTGTGTATGTCTGTGTGTTTGTATCTGTATTTTTAGCTTTAAGTTTTTTGAAGTACATTAAATGGGAAGACCACCTTCCATTTTCTCTCTGTGTAAATGAGCACTGACAAAAAGAAAGAAAGGTGTAGCTTTTTGCTGGGAAAGGTAGAGCTTGACATCATGGGCTAAAATATAGAGATGGAAATGTCAAGATTTTGCAGCTCATTTCATCTTGGATAGGTCTTTTTCAGGGACCAAGTGGAACAGAAGGGATAGGCAGAAATTATACTTTCCTTAATAGAATGTACAATTTTTGGGACCTAAACGATTTGCTGCAGAGAGCACGGGTCTAGTAACTTACCCAGAGGGGGCTGTAGCATCCCCCCATTCTTCTCACAGTTCCCAACAGGCTGGATTTCAGCTGAGTCAACCAGCCGCCAGAAGTCATTCTTGTTGTCACTGCCATCAAGTCGCAGACGGAGGCGGGCACCCGTCAGTCCAACTACTGTGGCAATACAGGTGGATGTGGTGTTTCTGGGGTCTTGTGCTTCCAATTTCATGCTGATCTTGAACTCATTGGTTGGAGGTGTATAGGACTGAGAAGAACAAGCCATGGGGATCAGGCAGAACAAGAACACAGCAAACTGCATTTTCAACAGGGAAAAACAGAAAATGTATGCTTTGGACTCAAATTGGTTACACCTGGACCAGGGACAACCAGTTTGAATTATGCCCTAACACTTGAGGCACAAAAGTTTCACACTAAAGAAACAGTATAAGGTAAGATGAAGGGAAAAATTACTTTCCTCTGAAGCACCAAACTTTGCCTCACATCATTAAAAAAAAAGGACAACAGTCTCTCTCATATAGTCTAGTTACTTTAAGGCTTTCTCATTCTATCTTCTCCAACTCCCTATCCCTCCAGGTATAACATTTTATTTTCAGAACCTTTATATTCTTTTCAGCTGCCATATATTTAATGTCTCTTCATGGAACATAGTGGTCTGTAAATCCATCACACAGACTACAGTACTGCTGGGAGTTGATTTTTTTCTTATTTTGACATTAATTTTTAAATCAACTCATATAATTAACATATAATAATCTATATACACATTGGTAAGTCTTGACATATGTATGCACCTGTGAAAGGCAGAATAAATTAATGAGTGTGGCCACTGCCTCAAATTCATGAATGTTCCTTTCTAATCCTTTTTTTCTGGCCCTTCCCAGACCCCTATGTCCATGAAACCACTGACGTACTTTCTACATTGTAAACTGCTTTTAATCTCCTAGTCTTATATGGAATCATAGAGGATGTACTCTTTTTTTTTGGTATAGCGTTCACTCAGCATAACTATTCTGATAGTTACCTACCTTGTTGAATGTTTCAATATAGGTTGAGTATCCCTAGTCTGAAAATTTTAAGTCCAAAATGCTCCAAAATTTGAAACTTTTTGAGCACTGATCTAATGCTACATGTAGAACATTCCACACTAGGGCTCATGTGATGAATTGTAGTCAAAACATAGGCACACTAAGAATGTGTAAAATTACTATCAGGCTAAGTGTATGAAGTGTATCTGAAACTAACAAATTTCATGTTCAGACTTGGGTCATATCTCTGAGATACTTCATTATGTATATGCAAATATATAAAATTTGAAAAAACGTGAAATACAAAACACTTCTGGTCTTAAAACTTCTGGATAAGAGATACTCAACCTGTAATTCATTTCATTTTGTTGCTGAGCAGTACATAAATTGATGTTTATCTGTTTTCTTTTCCACTTTCTTACTATTACAAATAAAACTGTTAGGAATGTTCATATGAAAATCTTTGCACAGAAATATACAGTTGTCTGTCAGTGTCTGGAGAGGATTAATTCCATGATGCCCCTCAAATACCAAAATCCATGGATACGCAAGTCCCTAATATAAAATGGCACAGAATTTGCATATAACCTACACACATCTTTCTTTAATCCCCTCTGGATTACTTAGAATACCTAATACAATCTAAATGCTGTGTAAATAGTTGTTATATTATATTGTTTAGGGAATAATGACAAGAAAAAAACCTATATATGTTCAGTACAGACATAATTTTCCCCCAAATATTTCTAATCTGTAGTCAGCTGAATTCACAAATGTGAAATCTACAGATGGAAGGCCAACTGACTTTCTTTTCTCTTCCATAAATATCTAAGATTGGGATAGCTGGATCATATGGTAGGTTTAACTCACACATAGGAAAGTTAATTCTTATATTAAAGTATATAATTCAATCCTGTTGTTGCTGTTGTTTGGCGGGCCTAGAGAGTAAACCCAGGGCCTCATGCATGCTGTGTAAGCACTCTATCACTAAGCTACATCCCCATCCTAATTCAGTGTTTTTAAGTATGCTCACAGAGTTGTGCAAACATCACACCTACCCAATTTTATAAAATTTCCATCATGTCCCAAACAGAAAGTCTATTTTATTAGTTGTCACTCTCTATCCCCCCTCTCAGTCCAGTCCCTGGAAACTATTAATCTACTTTTTGTTTCTGTGGATTTGCCTAACTTGGATATTTCATATAGTTGAGATTATGTAATATGCAGCTAATATGTGAATGGTTTCTTTTACTTGGCATGTTTTCACAGTTTGTCCACGTTGCAGCCTGTATCATTTCATTCTTTTCATTGCCAAATAATATTCTATTGTATAGATATACTATACTTTGCTTATTTATCATTAGATGAACATTTGAATTGTTTCTTCTTTACAACTACACCAAGTCCCTGGTTTACAAACATTCAAATTATGAACTTTCACAGGTGTACTGTGCAAGACTCACTTTGTTGGCTAATGAACGAATTCAACTTACTAACAATTCTCCCAGAACAGAACTCATTCGGTAAGTCAGGGACTGAGTGTATTATGAATAATGATGTGATGGACATTTATGATATGCCTTTGTGTGGATGTATGTTTTCTGTTCTCTTAGACGTATACTTATGAGTGGGATTGTTAGGTCATATGTTTTATTTTGTTTTTGTTTTTGGTACCAGGGATCGAACTTGGGACCTTGTGCTTGCAAGGCAGGCGTCGGAACCACTGAGCTAAATCCCTGGCCCTGTTGGGTCATATGGTAACCCTATGTTTAACATTTTGCGTAACTGAACTGTTTTATAAGGTGGCTACAGGATTTTAATCATCTCAGCAACCAATATATGAAGGTTCTAATTTCTTCATATCCTCACCAACGCTTGTTACTGTCTGCCTTTTTAAGTTTAGTCATCTAGTGGATGTGTAGTATGTAACTGCAATTTCAATTTCCATTTTTCTAAAACTAATGATCTTGAGTTTCTTTCATGTGCTTATTGGTCATTTGTATCCATATGGAGAAATACGAATTCAAATTCTTTGCCCATTTTAAAATTGTGATTTTCTTCCCCATGAGGAATTTTATCATTACATATACCAATGTACTAATAAAAAATAAATACCTGTGATTTTTTTAAATTGCTGAGTTGTAAGAGTTCTTTATATACTCTGTTTGGGGTACAAGTCTCTTATTAGATATATGATTTATAAATATGTTCTTCCATTTTGTTATTTACCTTTTCATTTTCTTAATGGTGTCCTTGGAAACACTTTTGATTTGGATGAAGTTTAAGTCACCTATTTTCTCTTTTTTTTGTTTTTTTGAGATAGAGTCTCGAGATGCAGTTCAGACTGGCCTTAAACTCACTTTGTAGTCCAGGCTGGCCTCAAACTCACAGCAATCCTCCTGCTGAGCCTCCCGAGTGCTGGGATTATAGGTATGTGCCACCATACCCAGCTTCTATTTTCTTTTTTGTTGTTTGTACTTTTGGTGCAGTATCTAAGAAACTATTATCTAAAGTCATGAAGATATACTCCTATGTGTTCTTCTAAGAGTTTCATAGTTTTAGCTTTTACATTAGGTCTATGATCCACTTGGAGTTAATCTCTGTATGTGATACAAAGGTAGGATGCAATTTTGTTCTTTTGCCTGTGGATATCCAGTTGTCCCCTTACCTGTTGTTGAAGATCTCATAGAGCTGTCTTGGGATTGGCTGTAAATTAATGGGTTAGTAATCTATATGTTTACCCTTACGCCAGAAACTCAGTGTCTTGAGTACCATGGATTTGTAGTAAGTTTTGAAATCAGGAAATACTGAGTCTTCCACCTTTCTTTTCCCTTTCAAGGCTGCTTTGGCTATTCTGGGTCTCTTGTATTTCTATATGAATTTTAGGAACTACTTATCAATTTCCGCAAAAAAGGCACCTGGGATTTGATAGGGATTGCACTAAATCTATAGATCAATTTGGGGAGTGTTGTTGTCAGTATGTGATTCACAAATTTTCTCTCCTAGTCTGTGGCTTGCATTTTCATTGTCTTGGAAGTGTCTTTTGAAGAGCAGAATTTCTTAATCTTGACAAAGTCCTATCTATTTCTCTGTCCATCTTCTGTCTATTTATCTCAGAGCCTTCCCATTGAGTTACATCCCTGTCCGCTATGTCAGTAAGTTGGCCAGGCTGGGCTTGAACTTTCGATCTTCCTGCTTTAGCCTCCCAGAGTGTTAGAATTATAGGTGTGCACCATCACAGCTGATTCTTAACATTTTTTGTGGCTCATGTTCTTGGTCAAGTGTTTTCTAAAGTTTTCTTTCCATAAACTTTATATATCTGTTAGGGCCGGGAATTTAGCTCTGTGGTTTTGCCACCTGCTGTGCAAGCGAAAGGACCCGAGTTTGATCCCCCGTACCAAAAACAAAACAAAAACAAAAAAAACAAACTTTATATATCTGTTAGTTAACTTCCTCCCCCTTTAGCTATTGTTGTAAATGGGAGTTTCTCTTCCACTGTATCTTCTACTGGATTATTTTAAACCACTGAGTAAAATGCTGGGTTTAGTACTGAGGTATAAATTTTTTTAAAAAATTAAGGATGCATTACTCATTTCCTAGTTTACTTAGTACTTTTTTTTTTGCTCAGTGGTATAATTTTTTTTTCCTGCTCAGCAGTATAATGATGTTTTCTGACCATTTTCCAAAGTAAGTGAGCCACTTTACATTTTCACTACCAGTGCATGAAAGTTTCATTTGCTCAGAATACTTGTCACCATTTGATAATGGCCAATTTAAAAAAATCAGTCATTTAAATAAATGTATAGTGACATCTCATTAAATCACTTTTAATTTGTATTTCCCTAGTGAAATAATGATGCTATGCATCTCTATTCATGTGCTTATTTGCTTTGCATATATTTTCTTTGGTTTGGTTCAAACTTTCAATTCCTTTCTTTTCCTGCCCTGTTTGATTTGGTAATACAGTATGGAGAGGGAGTGGCATGAGTGGACATCCTCATCTTAAAAGGAAAATACTGAGCCGGGGATTTAGCTCAGTGGTTCCACTGCCTGCCTTGTAAGCGCAAGGTCCCAAGTTCGATCCTGGGTACCAAAAAAAAAAAAAAAGGAAAAGATTTAGTCTTTATCATTGTTTCATGTTATCTGTAAACTGTTTATAAATGCCCTTTTTTTTTTTTTTTTTTTTTTTTAACCAGGGATCAAACTCAGGACTTTGCACTTGCTGGGCAGGCGCTGCGTCGCTGAGCTATATCCCCGGTCCTTATAAATGTCTTTTTGCTCAAAGTTTTTATGAGCAATGGATGTTGGATTTTGTGAATGCTTTATTTGCGTGTATTGAGATGATCATGTTTTTTCTATTCTTTTTTTTTTTCCTGACAAGATGGTCTCCTTGGCCCCCTCTTAATTATGGAGAAAGGGTCTGATCATGTTGGCCAGGCTGGTCTTGAATTAGTGGGCTCAAATGACCTTCCTGCTTCGGCCTCCCAAATACCTGGGACTACAGGTGTGTGTCACTATATCCAGCTATATTTTTTCTTCTTTAGTCTGTTTGTATAGTAAAGTATATCAATTGATTTTTGAAGTTTGAATCAACCTTGCATTCCTAGAATTAATGCCACTTGGTCATGATGAGTTGTTTTTATATGCTGTTATTTTTTTCCTTAAAAATTATTTTGAATTTTTATAAGGATATTGCTCTGTAGCTGTGATTTTTTGTTTTTGTTTTATTTTCAATGTCTGCCTGGCTTTGGCAATAGAAATGTTTACTTTGTAGGGTTAGAGGTACTTCTTTCTCTTAAATCTTCTGAAAGTCTGTTTAGAATTTGTAATTTTTTTCCTTAAATGTTTGAAAAAATTCATCAGCAAAGTCACTGAGGCCAGGAATTTTTGGTGGGAAATCTTTTTACTATAAATTTAATTTAAAAAAATAGGACTATTCAGGTTTTCTATCTTCTTGACTAAACTTTAATAACTGTGTCATTTATGGAAGTCATCCATTTCACCTCAGTTGTCAAATTTAAAGGTATAATTATATATAATACTTCTTTAATTCTTTTAATATCTAGAATCTATAGTGATATTAGTTCTCTCATTTCAGATATTGGTTATGTAAATCTCTACTTTTGGTCACTCTGGTTGGAGGTTTATCAATTTTATTAATCTTTGGAAAGAACTAGCTTTTGGCTTCAACAGGCTCTATAGTTTTTCTGTTGTTTGTTTAATGATTTATGCTCTAATCTGTTTCTTTTTTTGGTACCAGGGATCAAACTCAGGACCTTGTGCTTGTGAGGCAGGCAGCAGAACCACTGAGCTAAATTCCCGGCCCCTCTAATCTGTTTCTTATTCTCTACTTACTTCAAAGTTAACCTGCTCTTTTCTCTCCAGTTTTCTGAAGTTAATCAAAACTTTTCTTCATTTCTAATATAAATGCTCGGTGCTATAAATTTCCCCCTAAGTACTGCGTTAGCCACATCCTACAAATTCTGAAAGGTTCTGTTTTCATTTTCATTTAACTGAAAATACTTTCTCATGTCCCTTTTTGGTTTCTTAGCACTCATAGAGTACTTAGAAATGTATTACTTAGTTTAAAAGTATTTGGACATTTCTTAGGTAACTTTCTTCTATTTTTTAAACAAAAAAATCCCATTTTAATCAGAGAACATACTTTGTCCTGCTTAAATGCTCATAAATTTCTTAAGATTTTTTTTTATGGCCCAGAATATGGCTTAGCTTAATAAATGTTCACCAAGGACTCAAAAAGAATGTGTACTCTACTGATCTTGGATAGTATTCAGTATGTGTCAACTGGGTCAAGATAGTTGACAGTATTGTTCAAGTGTACGGTATGCTTGCTTGATTTCTATTAACTTTGATTACAGATACATTTTGGATTTATACCTTAAATTCCATCAGGCTTTGGTCCATGTAAGGATGGTCTGACTCCTTTATCATTATGAGATTATCTTCTGTGTCCCAATAATATTCTTTGTTCTGAAATATACTTTGATATTAATAGTTATTTCAGGTATATTATTAATGGCTAATATCAGCATGGTATATCATTTCTAATCATTTTACCTTTAACCCTTTCCTATTTTTATATTTAAAGTATAATTTCTTACAGGCAGTGTACGAATTGACTCTCGCTTTTTATCCAATGTGCCAATCTTAGCCTTTTAATTGGGATGTGTAGGTCATTTATATTTAACTTGATTTCTGATAAGGCTGGGTTTAAATGTTGCTACTAATTTTCCATTATTTTAGTGGTTGCTCTGGGTTTATAGTAAACATCTTTATTATAGTTTATCTTCAAGTAATATTACACAAATTTTTGTATAAAAACTTTGTAATAGTAAACTTAAATTTCTCTCTTCCTGCCTTATCATACATTTAACTTACATGTTATCTATACAATACGTAATTCTTATTTATATAGTCAATTATATTTTATAGATTTAAGTAATAAGATAAAACATTTTATGTATTTTTCTTATTAAAATTAAAAATTTCAGTCATCTTCCTTGCTTTGTACAGCTCTCTTATTTCATCTGGTATTTTCCTTCTGCTTGTTATAGCTTCCTCTAAAATTTCTGGTAGTTCAACTGCTAGTGACAAATTCCTTCAGCTACTGTATATCTGAAAAATATCTTCATTTCACCTTCATTATTGAAAAATGTTTTTGTAAGGTACAGTATTTTAGGTTAAATGTTTTCTTTCATTAAAGATGTTGTACAACTTTGTCCTTCCTCACATTGTTTCTAACAAGCAATATGGTATCATTATCTTAGTGATCCTATATGTAAAGTATCTTTTCTCTGGCTGCTTTAAGGTTTTCTTTTTATGGCTTTGTGTAATATAATGAAGATATACCTTAATGTAGTTTTCTTCTTGTTACTTTTGGGATTCACTGAGCTTCTTGAACTTGTGGGTTTGTAGTCTTCCTCAGTTTTGGAAAAATTTACCTATTATTTCTTCAAATGTCTTTTTTTTTCCCCTTTCTTTTATTTTCCTTGGGGATTCCATTACATGTCTATTTGGCTGCCTGAATCTATTTCACAGTTCACTGGTGCTCTTTTCATTTTCTTCTTCTTTTTTTTCATGTTTCACTTTAGGTATTTTCTATTGTTATGTCTTCAAGTTTACTAATCTTTTATTCTGCCATTAATTCTACCCAGTATATTTTTCATTTCATATATAATACTTCAATGTGAGTCTTTTTTAATATCTTCAATTTTTCTGTTTAACATATCAAAACAATTAAAATAATTAATGCATTTATCTGCTATTCTATGATCTACGTAAGTCTCGAGTCAGTTTCAACCAATTGATTAGTCTGTTATTGACTGTACTTTTTTGCCTCTTTTCATGCCTGGTTATCTTTGACTGGATGCCACACACTGTGAATTTTATCTGCTGGGTACTTAATATTTTTTGGATTCCTATACATTTGTTTTTCTTTGGGGTACCAGGGATTGAACTCAGGACCTTGCGCTTGTGAGGCAGGCACTGGCACCACTGAGCTAAATCCCTGGCTCTGCATTCCTATAAATTTTCATATGCTTTGTTCCCAGATGCAGTTACCTGCATACAATTTTATCCTCTTGACTCTTACGATTTGTTAGGCAGGTCTGGAATGTAGCTCAGGCTATGGTTAATACATTATTGCCTGCCACTGAGCAAAACTTTCCTGAGTACTCAGCCAATGAATTATGAGAATTATGAGACTTTCCAGGTGAGTTGGAGGGATCAAGAACTATTTCCAGTCCTATGTGTCAGGCTCTATTCCTTCTAATACTTTCCCAAGGGGTTTCCTTGGCCTTAAGTATTTCCTAACATGCTTTCAATGAACAGTAGTACTTTCCTGAATACCTCAAGAGGACCCTCTGCAGATCTTTGTGGGGTTTTTTCTATGCAGTTATCTGTTCCCTGGTACAAATGTGTCCCTGGACTCTCAGGTCCATTTCTTCTTTTTTTTTTTTTTTTGGTACCGGGGATCGAACTCAGGTCCTTGCACTTGCGCAGCAGGCGATGAAACCACTGAGCTAAATCCCCGGCCCCTTGGTCCGTTTCTTTAAATTAGGGAAACTGCTGGCTCAACCTACATTCCCCTTCCCTGAACCATGATCTGGAAATTCTCAAGGCAGGAAGCTAGAAAATCATACTGGGCTCAATTTATTTGTTTCCCCTCTCTCAGATATCATTGCTTAGTTGCTTGGTCTTTGGTGATTTGAAAACTATTGATTACTATATTTTGACTTTTAAAAACAGGTTTCAGGTGAAAATATGAATTCAGTCCCTGTTATTTGAAATGAGAAGATGTCCTGAATTTGTATTTTTACTTAGACAACAGAACTTAAAATGAAATGTTGACAGAAGCAATAATCATTGAGTAATAAAGGAAGAGAGATATAAATAACTTCCTGATGTTTAGCAGTACACTTGTTTGCTTATAAGCCTTATCACTTACTGACACAATCAACATCACTTATGAACTGTCCGGAAACCTTAATTCTACGTAGGAAGATGTGGATGACTTCTGAGTGCCTAAAACTTTTCCCAGTGGGATTCAGTGTCATCAGTCTTAGAGAAAAGCAAGATTGTGGCAGGGGTGTTAAGTAGAAGGAAAGAAATATTGCTTCACTTTCAAGTACTGTGTAAGGGATAGAAGTCTCTTATCTGTCTGTATTAAGAGCTACAATTAAAATTGGCATACTTCCCCTAGTAACACAATATCCTCAAGGAGGTGAAGAAGAAGAAAAAGAACATTACGTGGGATGAAGCTGGGAAGAGCGTCTGCTGCTAAAACTCATGGTGACCAAATTTTTCTGCTTGAGTTCTGTTCCTCCAACCCGAGTTTGTTCTGGGGTCCTCAAATGAGAAGTCAAAGGGATCCCACCTCACATGTTGATTGTTTAAGAACCAAAAAAATAAAAAACAAACCCAACCTATTTGTTTCCCATATACTAATGATGTTGAGGATCAATTACCTGCTTGAAGCAATGGACAGGCGCTGGGACTGAACATGTTTCTTTTAGGTATTTGTCCCAGGTAAAACGACCTGTAAAGGAAATAGAAATCTCTATCACAGTCAACTTCCTAAAAAATGCTTTTGGGATATAATGTATACTAAATTTTAACCCAATTACAGACTGGTTTTAAGTATAAGAAAACATCTTTTTTCTCTCTCTCTTTGGGCCCAAAGGAGTATTAGGGGGAAGAATCTAGGTGACCTGAGTGGCTCTTTTAATGTTTTAAAATCAGAGTCTCAAGATAACCTAAGACACTGGTGGCAAACCTAGAGTATGGGTGCCACAGTGGGCTGGTTGTATCAATGAAAGCTCTAAAAGGTTCACCATCACTAAGGTGTTTTTCATATTAGTCCCTAAACTGATGCAAAATGCCAGAGAAAGATACACTAGTATTTCCAAGAAGTGGCCAGGAAGCTCACAGGAAACAGAACAGAAGAGGTAAAAAGTGAGGGGAATAACCTGTCTCCTAAAGAGGACCCTACTGCTGCCAAGTGACAGCTTTTAACACTCAATGTGGTTAGATCCCACCACCTCACCTTAGGAAGAATGAAGGAAAGGCTACCTGGAAACATGAGGTGAAAAGATATGAGGGAAGGGGAAGGCAGACGAGCGAGATTATACTTGAGTTCTCACTCTTACAACTGGCTTTCTCTTACCTATCTCAATCCTACTCCCCTCCCATAGCTGTACTGCTTTGATAATGCAAAATGACAAAGATCTGGTAATCTAGAGAAAAGTAGGATATGGGAAACATTTCTGATGGCAGTAAATAAGAACAAGTTAAGGAGTCTACAAAATCTTTTAGCCTCTTGGTCTAATCAATACTGCTAGAAAAATAATCATTAAGGTGACACTATGCTAGAGCCAGGAAAACATGTTAAGAAACTGGCTGTTAAATATCAATTTTATTGGACCACAAAAGATTACCAAGTTATTTATTAAAAAGTTAAATCAAGTGCAAATCTCCCCCTAATACCCACCTAGAGGTGACCCCATGATGGAGCAGGGAAGGTCCCAGAGACTCTCACAAGCTAAAACACTGTAGCAAACCAGCATTTCTTGAAGTTTCCTCTGTAGTGGAGCAGCACAGGGCCCCTTTGGGCCATGCAAAAAGCACTAGATGCTGGGAATAAAAATGAGTCACTGAATGATGAAATCTAAACCACTTAAAAGATGATGCCAAGATTTTACACTCTACTGGCTTTACAGCTTCTGTTTTAAAACTGGTCCCTTTCCCATCATCTTTAGCTAAGCCAAATAGATCTGGCTAGATATTAAAGTTCTGAAACATTTCACAAACTAGCCAATGATTAATCATCATGACCAGACAGTCCATAGGGCAAATGAGATATATTTCCTGGAGTCAAGATTTAAACAGCTTATCAGAATTTAATAAAAAATTTGCTCTTAGCCAAAAGGGCCCTATATCAAGGGCTGAAAACATTTCATTATTGCTTGCTAATAGAAAAAGAAAATACAAATTATTATTCCATCCTTACAAATGAAAAATTAAATCAAATAGTAAGTTAGAACTGAGACTCTTAAACTCTAGCATCTAGAGCAGCATGCCCAATAGAACTTTCTGTGCTGAAACAAATGTTTTGTATCTGTGTTGCTCGATAAGATAGTACCTAGCTATACCTAACTACTGAACATCTGAAATGTAGCTTGTGTAAGAAATTAAATTTTTAAATTTTATTTTATTTTAAATAACTACATATCTACATATGGTTAATAGCTAATATTTTAGGCAGCACAGTTCTCAAGGTCTGGTCAGCCCTGGGTAATTGCTTGTATTAGCTTGAGTTCTGACTAAAAGCATATAAGAGACCTTGATTTTAAGAATCACAGCAGCATCAGGGATACCACAATAACTAAGAGTATTAATTACAGTTCTCTATTATACATATAAATCATGGTAATCAATTACTATGCTGTAAGGCACACAGATGAGAAACCTCAGACCTTACACTACTTAGGAAACCCCCTATTACAAACTAAATGAAAAAGAATCATTTAAAAAAGTAATCCAGGGCCGGGGATTTAACTCAGTGGTGCCACCATCTGCCTTGCAAGCGCAAGGTCCTGAGTTCGATCCCTGGTACCGCAAAAAACAAAGAAAGAAAGAAAGAAAAACAAAAAATCCACCCACTATGATGACTGACTGGCTTGAACCATATCTAGATTAGTATTTTTCTTATACTTGATCACTTGGGCCATCTAAGGCTTAGTCCCTTTGTATTAGGTAAATTGCAAAAATAAGGTAATTTTTATTGACTCAATAAGGACACCTGAATGACTACTATCATGCTCATCAAGAAGTCAGAAATCATATGTCATCTGTATCTGCAAGCACTAAAATAACCAGATGGCTAAAAAGGGAGGTTTCAAGTAGAAGCTCGGCACTTTGTATACATACAATGGTTTCATCATTATACATTTCTACCATCTGGAGTTTGGTTTTAAGAAATGCATGCATATAAGAGTACAAGTGATTTAATATGTTGTGTTTGTCATCAAATGCCTCAAGGTTGGAGTTCAGGTTGGGATAAAAAGTTCCAACTATTGCTTAGTAATATTTCCATGTAGTTTTCTCTTTGAAAAGAACGAAAAAGAAACATCACTTGAGGTATTTTTATTTAATAAAAATAAAGCACCTAGAGAAGTTTAGCATTCTTTTCAGAAAGAGAGAGGTTTGGACAAGGAGAAGAAATCAGAGGCTTTTGGAAGGGTTTAGGCAAGTATCCTAAAATGAGAAAGATTTGGATTTGGAAGGCTTCACAGAAACAGAATCACTACATTTAAGCTAGAATAACTCCTAAGAGTTTCTTAAAATAAACTTTTGGCTTTCTTGGGCTCGTATCTTTGCCTGTGTCACCTCTCCCTGGTGACTGACAATCAGCAAAAATGCTGCATGGCCTCATGACTTTTTCTGTCTCCGAAGAACAAATTCTACCATTTATCAATCTCCTATAATATACAAAAGGCATATCCTGTTCATTTCTTTATTTTATACTCAACACATCATCACTGTAATTACTTACCTAAACTCTTTATGGTTAGGAGCTATCTTTTATTCATTTAAAAATCTTTACTGCTTAACACAGTGCCTGCAACTTAATAGAGGATCAGTAAAGGTTTCTGAGTAGTCAGGAGTGTTGGTGCATACCTGAAATCCCATGGTAGGCTGAGGCAGAAAGATCTCATGAGTTTGAGGCCAGCCTGGGCTATAGACAGAGACCCTATCTCCAAAAAAAGTTTTGGAATGAATGAAAAGAAGAAAAGCACCAAACAGGTAACACTTTTACTCTTTTCTATACTAGTAACATCCATGTGGGATATTAAGTTTAGTCTGAAAGCTATACCTTGAGAAATACAAGGCAAACCAAAGTTTAAATGGTGATCTTAGTGTAAAGAGATCCAAAACTGTCAACTGAGGACCAACTGAAGCAGTAGTTCATGAACTTTTAGCATGAATAAGAAAAGAAAGTCTCAGAGCCATTCCTTATCCATCCAACAACTATTTACAGTATTGTCCTGGGTGCTAGAAACACAACCATGGTCAAAATATTGTCCTTGCCCAAGGAGAGCGTCAGTCTAGTGAGGTGCAGAGGTTAAATGTAATATCTTGTAGTAAGGGCCATACTTGGAGAAGCAGAGGGTGCTTTAGGAGTACCTGAAGGGTTTGTGGAAGACTTTCCAGAGGAAGTAACCTTTAGCCTCTAAGAAAAGGATAAAAGAATAAACAGGACTCAAAAAGAAAGGTAACTTTTTTTGTTTGTTTCACACAGGGAAAAAAAGCATATATAAAGGCTTGGAGGTAAGAAAAGAGTGGTTCTAAATACTGGATATTTTGGTGTGGCTCTTGGTTGGGGTTTAAAAGACAAATAGTTTTAAAAAGAGTTTGCAGATAGAGGCAGTATTAAGGTAAGAGGGCTTCTCATACACCAAGTTACATTATGTTAATGAGAAAAAGTATAGAGAGGTTTGGGGTGCAGTCATCCTGGCCATAGAGTGAAGAATGGACAGGAGGGAAGGCAGGAGGCTGGAAGACTAGGAAGCTGCCTAATCTAGGTATAAGACAATGGTGACTTGAACTAGGCAAGTGGCAGAGTAACAATGAGAAAGTAAACCTTAGCGCTATTTTCTAATAACCAGAGGCCAGTGAGTAAAAACAGGCTAAACATATTCCGTATGGTCCTGAAAGTTAGAATGTTCCTAAAAAAAGAAACATATTTTGGCCCAATGAAGTATCTGCTCAATATGAAGTAATTTATCTAGGAGGTTGTACAACCTTAAGAACTTGAGTTTAAAACATTTTATAAGAAATTCAAAATGTCAAAATTTGAAAACTTCGACCAGGGGAGATTAAAGGGTTTTTTTCCAACACTGAAGTTTGACCAATCTACTGAATTATATGTCAGTTTGATATCTGGGGTTGCCCTCTATGCTCAAGGGGGAAAATAAAATATGCAGGACTAAGTTATATCAGAGGATATGCCTGTGCTACCAACTGTCTCATCAGGAAAATTAAACTTTCAAATTTTAACATCATTTGCTAACACATACTTTATGTAAATTGAGTATCCATATTTCAAAACTCCCTGTCAACAAACAGGTTTACAACATGCCTAAAATTGTGACTGAACTGCAACTGTTATTATTATTCACACCACAACAAAAACAGCAGCAGCTATCACACTGCTGCTATCATGTGCCTGCCTGATACCAGACTAGCTCAGTATCTCCCATGTTTAAGTAGGTTTTAGGTGTATTTTAAAGATGAGAAAATTGGTTCAGAAAGATTAAGTAATTTGACTGAAGTTATAAAACTGATGATTGGGGAATACGAATTTGAACCAAATCCTGATAAGACTGTGTCAATGCTTTTTCCACTACATGTTGCCACCTTATATTTGAGGCAAGTTTTAACAAATAATAAAAATAACTACCATTTGTTTACAAAAGCCAGGTACCTTTACCTGCATTATTTCATTTAATTCATTTCTTTGGCTCCCATTCATAATGCTTCATTTCAAGAATATCAGATTTTACTTAGAGTCAAGTCTGAGAATACAGTTGAACAGAATGAAAATCATAATATTCCTCCATAATTGAAAACTATTTGAGAGACTTTAAGATGTTTTCAGATCTGTTACTTCATATAGTCTTTACGACTCAAGTAGGCAGAATGGGATTATTCTCATTTTACAAATCATAAAACTAAAGATCAGAGTCACAAAGTTATTAAGTGGCAAGAGTTGGTTCTCAATGAAACCAGGAGTTTTGATTCTTTATCTTTATATTAATATCAATATAATATTTTATATTAATACCAATAGACAATGGAAAGCACTATGTCACAGGAAGAAAAGGCAAATAGACAATGACACTAACAGAGCTGAACACATGAAATTGCAGTAACAAAATATATCAAAGTACTGAACAAAAATTGATAAAGGTATCAGGACAGCAACATTTATATAACATGTAGGAGGATTCTAAAGACTCCAAGACATTAAGAATGATGTTATGTAGAAATCCTGAAAGCTGACTGAGAAATATTAGTTTTATTCCTCAAATTTTAGTCCTGAAGTACACTAAGCAGTGGTGAAAACCAAATGCAATATTACTCTGACTTGCTACTTGATAATATTTTAATGTTTCAGTTTTTATTTTGTTCATAAATTTAGAAAAATTTTAGATTTAATTTTAATTAAATTTATCTTATGAGTACTATCTTCTGGGAAAATTTCACCAAACTCTTCATTTATACAGTGAGATTTTCTTTTAGTTCTGGATTCAGTGAATTAAGAGTTAGCTTAAGGGGGGAGGGGAGAGTTGGAAGGAAGGGAGGGGATTGGGAGAAAAAGAGTCAAGATATATCATGTACAGGTACAAGTTCCCTTTGATGAATGTAATCGTTATGCATATTTAAATTGTACCAATTAAATTAATTAAAAAACAGTTAAGAGTTGGTTCATTTTCCTTTCTTGGCTTGTTGTGACTATTAATCCTGATATGCCAACTTTACTGGATTAAAAAGTGCCTAGCAAATTAGTACAAGATGCTCCTGGGTGTGTTCAGGTAGGTTACAGAGAGATGGCCTTCGACATTATATATGGTCCTTCACCTGCTCCTCTCTGAAACTGTTCCCCTGTTCTGCTTCCTGGCTGCCACAAACTAAGTATCTTTGCCCTGCCATGCCTTTCCCTAGAAGTCTGGCTTGGAGCCTGTTGATGAGGTCCTGAATTTCCTGAAACCATGAGTTAAACCTTTCCTCCTTTAAATTGTGAGTGCTGGGTATTGGATCTCAGTGATGGGAAAGCTGGCTGATACAGTACACTTGGTCAGTGGCTGCCTGATAAGTAGGGTTGACATGACAGCTGAGACGAATTACTGGGCTAATTAGGTAAACAAAAGCACAAGTTTCACTGCTTTAATGAGCAGAGACACATGGAATTCCTTTCCTAGTGGAGTAAAACTGGTTACAATCTAAGCCCTGGTCTAGTAATTCTCCTTATTTAACAGAAACAAGAAAAATATCTTACCTAGCTCCAGGATGTCAGTAGTTTCTATTAAAGAAAAAAATGTTATAGTATAGGTCATTGTGACAAACATACCAAAATGACAGAAAGATGAAACTCCGGGGTGAAACAGGGGTTTGAAATTTTGTGTAGGCCAATTACTTCATTTTAAAACATACTGAGTTTTATTAGTAGTTATGGAAATACACCACCCACTTTTGGCCTTCCTTTGGCGCCTGAACTAGTAAAAACTATGGAAATCCAGAGAGACTGAGCAACTGTGCCTAAAGGTATAAAGCTAAATTGAGGTTATTTATGCTCAGAATCTAGGTTTCCTGATTTTCAGCTCAAAATAAAGTATATTGCATTTGACAGACATCTCCATAAATGACAGTATTTGCTTTTGCTTTAACCACTGAATGATTCGTAAACTTGGAATCCTAAGAATAAATGCTTTTTGGGAAAAATGTCAAAATTTTTTTCACACTAAATTGTTTTTTTCTTACCTTGATACTGGGGTGCACACTCTGATCGGGGACCATATTTGTGTTTTTTAACGTCATTCCAGTCTATTGCTACAGGAAGAGAGAAAAAAAGTTATTTGGAAAGAAAACACAAGATTCAATACTTTTCCAACTTGGTAGTATGCATTAATATTTTTTCATAACATAATCCACATCTGAGATTCTACTCTAGGAAAATAATCCAAATATAGAAAAGGTTATTTATTTATTTATTTTTATTTATTTTTTTTCAAGATGGATCTTGCTATGTAGTTCAGCAGCCTGAACTCACTCAGTAGCCTAGGCTGGCCTCAAACTTGTGGTGATCCTCCTGCCTCAGCTTTCTGAGTGTTGGGATTACAACCATCTGCCACCATACCCAGCTTGAAAAGGTTTTATTTTAAAAGGTTTCACATTATTTATAACAGCAGAAAAAGAAGAGGGGGAATACCTATGTGTTTAAAACAGAAGACTGATTAAGATTTGGCCAGGTAATCACTAGGCCAAGTATTTTGCAGGTGTTAAATTTTTACAAAGGCTAAAGAGCAAACGGGAAAATGGTAAAGTTAAAATGTTATCGGGTAAAACATGGCAACAAAAATTGTATTCATGGAATAGTCACAATTATATAAAAAAACTGTAAAAAAAAGAAAATGAGCCCCACTGTGCGGAAATTATGCTTTCTAAAACTTCACTGAAGTTCCTCCTCCCCAGTATTTCAGAATGCATCTATATTTGGAGTCAGAATCTTTTTTTTTTTTGGTACCAGGGATTGAACTCGGGACCTTGCACTTCCAATGTAGGCCCTGGAGACAGACTCTTTACTGAGGTAATTAAATTAAAATGAGGTGATTAGGGTGGGCCCTAATCCAAAATGACTGGTGTCCTTATAAGAGGAAATCTGGATACAGGGCTGGAGAAAACATAAAAACAGAAGGAGAAGACTGTCATTTGTTTACCAAGGACAAGAGGCCTCACAGGAAAACAAACTGCTGACACCATGGCCTCAAACATTTAATCTCCAGAACTGTGAGGAAATAAATTTCTGTTGTTTAAACCATCAAGTTTGTGGTCGTTGTTATGACATCCCTTACAAACTTATGCAATCTCTGAAAATTATCATAGAAAAACAAAAAAAAGACAGAAGTAAACAGAATATATAAGCAACAAGTTATCTTTCTGTGGTAGTACTAGGTTCCTCCTTTCCATTTTTTAATCTTATATAAATTCAAATATATATTTCATAGAGAAAATGTTACTCATATGACAGGAATATATTTTCCTTATTTGAATATTTAGATTTGTCCACTGACTACCACTTTCTTACCATCAATCACTCATCAAGTCTTTAGCTCTCTTCTTACTCAGCTCGGATTCCACAGTCTCTCATTAAAATCACCAAGGCAAACACTTTTAACTCTCTCACATCTTTTTTTTTGGTCAAACTGGCCTCGTAAAGTCTTAATCCAAACTCTGGTTGAAGCCACTACCAATCGATACTGTGCCTACCCTCAGCAGCTCACTAGCGCTAAAGAAAAAAAAGCTTACTGGTCTCACTTTTAAACTCACAGTTCAATTCTCAAATGTCATTTTATACTGCCCAGAAATCACAGCACATTTCTCCACTGTTTTGCTTTTCCACTTTCCAAAAAATTTTTTTTGCCACTCTTGTCTCTCTCTTTTTTTTTGAGTACCAGGGATTGAATTCAAGACCTTGAGTTTGCCAGGCAGGCACTATGCTGCTGAGCTAAATCCCCAGCCTCCTGCTCCACTGTCTCTTAAAGGAAGACCTTTAATTCATGGTTCAATTAGAAACAGAAATAAGGGCGGCTGAGGATTTATCTCAGTGGTGCTGTGCCTGCCTCGCAAGTGCATGGTCCTGAGTTTGATCCCTGGAACCGCAAAAAAAAAAAAAGAAAGAAAGAGAAATAAGGGTAGGAATATTTCCACTCATTTCACAAAGGTAGAGACTTTATCTTGTTTAGTGGTGTATTGCCACTAAACAAGATTGCCACTAGTGTATAATGTAGCAGGAGCTCAATGTTGGGTGAAAGAATTAATCTGCTCACATATTCTTTCTGACTTCTGTTACTATGGATGAAGTAGCTGATTTTATCAAAAGTTAGCTCTCCATGCTTACTTCAAATCCCATCATCTTTATCCTCTCAAGGGCTTTTCCTCATATTATGAATGTTTGTGTGTATGTATACATTTATTAAGTAAATTGCTTTTCCCCCTCATTCTTTTATCATATAACAAAAGATATAATAACTTTTAACCAGTATTTAACTATTATTACATCATAGTATTTAAATGGCAGGAAATCAGGAGAAGAGTAAATGTCACTCAAGAAATTTACCTCCCCTTCTGGGGAAGTGAAAAGTATGTTTTGGGTTGTATACAGAAAAGGTATATACCTAAGACAGAATTGTGACCTGGCTTCTATCTTCATTTCAAGATCAAATATGGTTGAAGGAGATGCACATGGGTGCCAAGTTGAATACAGGCAGGCTTGAGATGGTTAATTTTACGTATCAACTTGTCTGGGTTAAAGGATACCCAGATAGCTGATAAACATTAGCTGGCTGTGTGCTTTTGGAAAAGACCAACATTTGAATCAGTAAACTAAGTGAAGATCACCTTCATCAATGTGGGTGGGCATCATTCAATTCATTGAGGGCCTAAATAAAACACAGAGGTGGAGGACAAATTTTCTCTTACTTCTTGAGCTGGAACATTCATCTTCTCCTGTCTTTAGACATTAGAGCTCCTGGTTCTTGAGCCTCAGACTCCAGGACTTATACCACTGCCCCCTTCCCTAACCCTTTCACTTTTTTAGGCCTTTGGCCTTGGAGCAGGAGTTGCACCATCAGCTCCCTGGTTCTTAGGCCTTTGGACTCCTCTGAATTACACTATCAGCTTCTGGATAGTATATCACGGAACTTCTCAGGAGGCTCCATAATTTCAAAAGCCTATTTCTATAATAAATTTCCTGTCTGTCTATCTATTCCTATTGTTTCTGTCTCACTGGAAAATTCTGACTAACAGCATCAGAGTGAACATTCTGAAACATAAAAAAGATAATATAATTTCTTTGCTCAAGGACCTCCAGCAGCTTCCCACTAAGTTAAGGACACTTTATAAAATCACACAGGATCTGGCTCTTGCCACTTCTCTGACTTTGTCTGTTGTAACTTTCCCCTTTTCCAATACACTTCAGTGATACAGGCTAGTGTCCCACTCCAAGAGTTTGGCTTCTCTCCTGGTTTGTTTGTTGTTTTTTTTTTTGGTACTGGGGATCAAACTAGGGTCTTTGCGCTTGCATAACAGGCGAAGAAACCACTGAGCTAAATCCCCAGCCCCTATCTCCTGGTTTTGATATCCCCTATCTGGATAGTTTCATTTTATGTTTGTTCCCCTCTAAATCATCAATAAACATTAAAAATTAAACCAGGCTTAAAAGTTACTAACAAACAAATATTAGAGGATCATAATTAAATTTAAAATTTTTCACAAGTGTTTTTATAATTAGAAAGGATGTGTTCTTAAAAATTAAACATAATATACATTCCATTTACATGTAAGTTTTTAATTTTTTGGTACCAGGGATCGAACTCAGGACTTTGTGCTTGCGAGGCAGGCATGGTGCCACTGAGCTAAATCTCTGGCCCTACATGTAAGTTTTTAATACTATATCACTTAAGAGGAGCTGCCAGTACACAGAAAACTGATTCAAGAAAGCCAGCAAGATCATCAATAAAACAATACTCAAAAGTAACACAATTTAGGAAAAAGATACTCTAGTAGAGAAAAACAAAATCTAGATTCAATAGGGAACAAAAGTAAACTAAGTGGAAAGGCATCAAATAAGGTTCCGTTCAAGACAATGAAAAGGAACTTCTCAGAAGAAGTATTTTGAACTCTTGTCATAGGTAGTAGAACCTGGAAAGTAGCACTCTAAAGAAGAAAAGGAGACAACAACTACATTACAAAATGTGTAATTTTTAAATATTGCCATAAATTACTCAATGGCTTAGGTAATCATCCCTTGTATCAACTCTTAAATGAAGAGAATACAGCATGTGACAGTTTCACCTGCAAAAAAGAAACTAGTAACCTATATTTTTTTCAAAGCATTCTATGAATAATGGCCATGTTTCAAAGTATATTATAACATGTACCTACTACTTAATAATCAGTTTTATTCCTTTTACCCAGGCAGTATCTTTCTTCTCTGATAGTTCCTTTCTCAGTTAATGTAACCAGTTAGAAACCAGCAGTTCTCCAACTGATTTGGAGGACAAAGGAGAGCAGAGAATTAAGGAGGATTCCCACTTTGTCCTCCAAATTAGTTATTCAATTTTGTCATTTCTTCTAAAATGACCTGCTCCTCCTTCCCATCTCCTCTGTTCCTATTCTGTGTTTAGGATGCCATTATTACATACCTTAACTAATAAAACAGTTACTTAATACCTCTGTTTAATCTTAACCTTTCCAATTCATGTATCAACATTGTTTTTCTAAAATACAGATTAAATATGTCACTACCCAATTGAAAATACTTCAAGGATCAAGACTAAACTGTATCCAAAACTGTCCAAACACATCAGACTCTCCCATATCTACGGACTTGGCCTACTTCTCTCTTTGGGGGAGTCCTACTTATGCCTCAAGGTCCAGGAAAAATGTCAATTTGTAATAGCTTTCTGGTAACACCTCTTAGCAAAGTACTAGCAAAAAAACAGTTATGTAACAAGAGAAAAGTTATACATGTGAAGAACATTTCAATGCATGCCCTCATCAAAACAGTTGTAATATAGAAAATGATGCCTACAGAAACTACTATGATTAATACAGAATAACTGAACATAGATAATGTAAAACTACAGATAATTTAAAAGTCATTAATATTTAGCTTTATCTTATTTTTCTACTACATACTATTTCAATCATACTTTACCTACACTAATATTAAAAATGAACTGGCTTGGGTCGGGGATTTAGCTCAGTGGTTCCGCCACCTGCCTCACAAGCACAAGGTCCTCAGTTCGATTACCCCCCAAAAAAGAACC